AGAGAGAGAGAGAGTAAGAAGGAATAGTATGAATTACAAAAAGCGCATCGTTTTTATGATTTGTGGCGAATCAACAAAATTAATCTATAGATAATACAAAAATAATATGATTTGCATAAAAAATTCCAAAAAAGCTCATCGATGCTTCGTTTTTTTTTTTTTTTTTTTTTTTGAGGATTTACTAAAGCTGTCCGAAAATTGAACCAAAACTTGTTTTAATAATAAAAAAAAAATTATCAATGCTTTTTCCGAGAACCTTTTTTTATGAATCATGTTATATTTGTATCAGCTGATGATTCATTTCGATGGTTACCAAAAAAACATGCAAATGGTGCACCTTTTCCCTCCATACCAATATTTATTTTTTGTTTGATCTTGATTATATATATAAAAACAAGTTCAACTGTGAATAATATTTGAGGGAGTGACCTAACACAAATTTTATCCATAATAAATTTAGATACCAAATTTCACATGAGCATGTGCATATAAATATTTAAGAGAATGTAGAAAATTTGAAAAAAAAATATATGTATGTGCATATGCACATGTTTTTTTAAGTATACCTATGCATAAAAAATATATATTCATTAAAATGCATTTTTATAGAATTTCTTTTTTCTAAATATTAGTTTTGAAATATAAGGTATATATTCATTGATTTGCAAAAAGAAATATAACTATTATTTTTTTTAAATACTTTATATTTTTTTCAAATCAACGAAAATATTTCTTATATATTGAAATAAATATTTAAAAAAAATTCAAAAAAAAATGCATTTTTGAAGCATACTCATATTATTATGTGCATATGCACATTTTTAAAAAACATTTGCATATGTACATGTAAATTAAAAAATTCCTTTTTTAATTCTTTTAATAATATATATATATATACATGAACATATGAAATTTCGTACCTAACAGTGATAATGTTCAAAATGTAAAATAATGTCATATTTTTCTATAAATTTCAGAATAAAAGTTGATTATAAATTATAAAACTATAAATAAATATCAATATTCATATATGAATTTTAAAAGCCAAATCAAGATTTAAAAATTGAAATTATTAATCATTATCTTTTACATACATTATCTCTTAGATATAAATATAATACTTTCTTTTTGTATCTCAAATGTCCTCCAAAACATTCACATATTTTGAGCCACTAACTTCAAAGTTACAACTTAGGTCCTTAAAGTATTGGTCTCTAACTATATTTAAAAGACATAATTCTACACAAATAATATAAAAAAGTTTATGAATTAACTAATTTTTTTTAGATCTATAGAATGTTTATATTTTTTCCTTTCATCAAAAGAAAATAACTTTTTTTATTTAGATCATACTATCTTATAATCATCTTAACCATCTTTTATTAAAATTAAAAAACAAAATAAAATTATGAATTATTCAACTATAATCTATTAAAGTGCAATATTATCCTATATTGACAATCATACTTCAATATAGTTTGGTATTGAATTTTTACACTTTTTTCTTACTTTATCAATCTACTTTCATGATTTTTGGCGAATCATTTGCAAACTTTTTTATATATCCAGTAAGATGAATATTTAGTATGAAGTACAAAAAGTGCATCAATTTTATGATTTTTGGCGAATCAAAAAATTTAATCTTTAGATAATACAAAAATAATCCAATGGCCTTTGGCCTAACGGTAAGAACTGACTATCTCAATTGAGAAGTCATGGATTCAAGTCTTTTTTGAGACATAGATGGTAATTTAGGAGTAGATTAGTTTGTTGTTCAAAAAAAAAGATAACACAAAAAAGATATGATTTGTAAAAAAAAAATTTCAAAAAAGCTCATCGATGCTTCAGTTTTTTGAGGATTTACTAAAGTTGTCCGAAAATTGAATCAAAACTTGTTTTCATAAAAAATGAATTATCAATGCTTTTTTCGAGAACATTTTTTTATGAATCATGTTATTTTTTTCAATCAACTGATGATTCATTTCAGTGGTTAACAAAAAACAAGTTCTAAATGGTGCACTTCTTACCCTCCGTACCAAATATTTACTTTTTATTTGATCTTAATTATATATAAAAAAAATTAAAAAACCGATTCTTTTTAATTCTATTTATTTATTTATTTTATTTTTGGTTTTTTTTTCAAAAAAAAATCAGCGAAATTATATAAAAAGTTGCGATTTTTAAAAATATAAAGTTAAAAAAAAGATTTGTGATCTCTAAACATTTTTTATGCATTTCTATGATTTGTAGGGTTTTTTGTTTTCCATATAACCTATATATATATATATATATATATATATATA